CATATTTCACAGATCTAGAAAAAATAATTCTAAGCATTCTTTGGAACCAGAAAAGAGCCCGAATAGCCAAAGCAATCTTAAGCAAAAAGAACAAATCTGGAGGCATCACATTACCAGACTTCAAACTATACTATAAGGCTATAGTAACCTAAACAGCATGGTATTGGCACAAAAATAGAGACATAGGCCAATGAAACAGAAAAGAGAACCCAGATATAAAACCATCCATTTACAGCCAACTGATCTTTGACAAAGCAGACACAATATACACTTGGGGAAAGAAGCCCTATTCAATAGATGGTGCTGGGAAAATTGGATAGCCACATGCAGAAGAATGAAACAGGATCCATATCTCTCACTACTCACAAAACTTAATTCTAAATGGATAAAAGACTTAAATGTAAGGCATGATACCATAAGAATTCTAGAGGAAAATGTTGAAAAAACTCTTCTAGATATCAGCCTAGGCAAAGAATTTATGAAGAAGACCCCAATGGCAAACACAGCAACAACAATAATAAATAAATGGGACTTGATTACATTAAAAAGCTTTTGCACCGCTAAGGAAATAATCAACAGAGCAACTAGACAACCTATAGAGTGGGAGAAAATATTTGCAAGCTATACATCTAATAAAGAGCCAATAACCAGAATCTACAAAGAACTCAAGCAAATCAGCAAGGAAAAACCAAAACCCATTAAAAAGTGATCAAAAGACATGAACAGAAGCTTTTCAAAAGAAGATAGACAAAAGGCTAGTAAAAATGGAAACATGCTCAAACATATCACTAATTATCAGGGAAATGCAAATTAAAACCACAATGAGCTATCTCCTTACCCCAGTTTTGGTTTTTATCAAGAAGTCCAAAAACAGTAGATGCTGGCATGGATGCAGAGAGAAAGGAATGCTTATACACTGTTGATGGGACTGCAACTTAGTATAACCTCTATGGAAAACAGTATGGTTATGCATCAGAGAACTGAAGTAGACCTACCATTCAATCTCGCAATCCCACTACTGGGTATTTACCCAAAGGAAAAAAGTCATTTTTATAAAAAAGACACCTGCACTTCAGTGTTTATTGCAGCACAATCCACAATTGCAAAGATGTGGAATGAACCCAAGTGTCCATCAATTCATGAGTAGATTAACAAAATGTGGTATATGTATACTGTGGAATACTACTCAGCCATGAAGAAAGATGAATTAAGGCCTTTTGCAGCAATGTGGATGGAACTGGAGACCATTATCTAAAATGAAATATCTAAAGAATGGAAAAACAAACACCACATGTACTCCCTATTAAATTGTAACTAACCTATGAGCACAGATGTACACAGTAAGAAGTAAAACTCAGTGGAAATCAAGCAGGGAGAGGTAGGAGGAGGGGATGGGCAAAAACCTACCTAATGGGTGCAGTGAACACTATCTGGGTGATGGGCACACTTATAACCATGACTCAAGCATAACAAAATTGATTCCTGTAACCGAAACATTTGTGCCCCTATAATATTTTGGAAAAAAAAAAAAGACTATTCACCTACTAATGGTCATTTGGCTTGTTTTGAGTTTTGGGCTATTATGAATAAAGCTGTTACTAACATTCACATATAAAAACAAAGAAAGGAAGGAAGAGAGGGAGGGAGGGAGGGAGACCTTAAAGATAAAGACACAATAAATTAAAGGAAAAGGGATAAAAAAATATATTATGCTGACACTAATCAAATGAAAGCTGTAGTAGCTATGTTAGTATCTGATATAGTTTGGATATTTGTCTCCTCCAAATCTCATGTTGAAATGTGATCCCCAGTGTTAGAGGTGGGGCCTCTTGCTTTTGGGTCATGAGGAAAATCCCTCATGGATAGCTTGTTATCCTTGTGGTAATGAGTTCTCAATCTATTAGTTCCCATAAGAACTGATTGTTAAAAAGACTCTGACACTTCCCTCCCCTCTCTCTTTTCCTTCTCTTACCATGTGATGCCTGCTCCCCTTCTCCTTCCAGCGTGAGTGGAAGCTTCCTGAAGCCCTCATCAGAAGCATATGCTGCTGCCATGCTTTATTTGGCTTATGGTTCTTCACAACTTGCAAAACTGTGAGCCAAATAAACCTTGTTTCTTTATAAATTACCTAGCCTCAAGTTTTCCTTTATGGCAATGCAACGTAGACTAAGACAATATCAGAGAAAGTAGGTTTTAGAGCAAAGTCAATCCATCAAAAGGATATATGAATTCTAAAAGTTTACATACCGAATAGCAGAGCTTTAAAATACATGAAGCAAAAACTGAATGTCAAGGAGAAATAGGCTAATGGATAGTTATGCCTGGAGACTTCAATACTCATGTTTTCAATAAATGATAGGGCAAGTAGACAGAGATGATCGGTAAGGATGTAGAATCCTTGGAACAACACAATATACCAACTTGACCTAACTGACATGTATAGGACATTGCACCCAACAACAGCAGAATACATATTCTTTTCAAGTGTAGCATTTACCAAGATTTATCAAGATTGGCCATATTCTGGGCCAGAAACAAGTTTCAACAACAGTATGAGTTCAAGTATATTCTCTAACTTGCATCAGAGATCCCTAAGACTACCTTCAGGTTATTGATTCACTAGAAAGACTCCCATAACTCAGAAAAGCTGTTATTCTCTTGGTTATAGTTTATTACAGCAAGTCGATACAGATTAAAATCAGTAAAGGCAAAAGGCACATAGGGAAGAATTCAGGAGAGACCAAGTCAAGCTTCCAGTTGTCTTCTCCCAGTGGAGTCCTACGGACATCGCTTAATTGTCTCTGCAACAAAATGTGACAACACTTGTGGAGTATTGCCAGTCAAGGAAGATCACCTGAGCCACCTTGATGTCTAGGGATTTTACTGGGGGTCAGTCATATAGACATGGAGCACCCACATCACTGACCTTACTCAGTCTGTAGCCCCTCTAGAGAGTAAACCCATAAAGCATAGCCCCAGTCTTCCACTATAAATCACATCATTAGCATAAATTATATGGCATGGCCCAAGGCCCTAGATAAACAAAGACACTTCTTTAGGGCAGGATATTCCAAGGGCTTAAAGGTTATCTCCCAGGAGCTGGTTAAGAGCTAGTCCTTTCTTTGTAATAGACAGGATTGGATCATCCCATTCCTCCAAGTCAGCCCTTTACTGCTCAAATCCTGATGGAAATGATTTAGAAATCAGTAAAGAAAGATCCTTGGAAAACTCTCCAAATATTTGGAAACCAACACACTTTTAAAGAAGAAATCAAAAATTAAATTAGAAAATATTGTGAACTGAATGAAAATAAAACCACAACATATCAAAATTTGTAGGATGCTGCTAAAGCAGTAGTTAGAGAAAAAATTAAAACACCAAATGCCTACGTTAGGAAAGAAAAAAGGTCTCAATACTATAGATTTCACCTCATGAAACTAAAATAGAAAGTATAAATTAAACCAAACCCAATGTATTCAGAATAAAGGAAATAATAAAGATCAGAGTGGAAATAAACAGAAAACATAAAAATAATAGAGAAAAATCAAGGAAATCAAAATCAATGAAATCAAAAAGATCTTTCTTTATTGAGAATTTCAATAAAAATGATAAATCTCCTAGCCAGACTGATCAGGAAAAAAAGACATAAATTGCGAATATCAGGAATGAGAGAGGTGCTATCTAGTAGAGATTCTATAGATATTAAAGGATTATGGAATATTATGTAATCTATAAGAAATAAATTTGACAACTCAGAAGAAATGGACAAAGCTCACTCAAGAAAGATAATCTGAATAACCTTATATCAAATAAATTGAATTTGTAGTTAAAAAGCTTCCCACAAAGAAAACTCCAGGTCCAGATGGCTTCACTCGTGAATTCTATGAAACATGTAAGGACAAAATAATACCAATCTACACAGACTTTCCCAGAAAATTGAAGGGGAGGGAATAATTTTCAAGTCATTTTATGAAGTTAGCATTTACCCTGATATCAAAACCAGATATAAGGACATTACAAGGAAGCTACAGACAAATATTCCTCATGAACATAGATGAAAAATGCTAAGCCCCAAATTTTAACAAATCCAATCTAAAAATATAAAAAAGGATAATTCATCATGGCCAACTAGGGTTTATGCCAGGAAAGGAAGGTTGGTTTAACATTTGAAAATGAGGCAATGTAATTCATCACATTAAAAAAGTAAAAGTGCAAAAGTTACGTGATTATCTCAATGGACACGAGAAAAATGATTTGAGAAAATCCAACATTTACTCTTGATATAAACTCTCAGCAAATCTGTTGTAGAAGGGACCTTTTTCAGCCTAATAAAGGGCATCTATGAAAAACTTAACTGTTAATATCAAGCCTATAACGTTGAAAGACTGAATGCTTTCTCCCTAAGACCAGGAATAAGATAAGGTCATCTGTTCTTACCAATGCTATTCAACGTTGTACTGGAGGTTCTTTTTTTCTTTTTTTTGAGACAGAGTCTCGCTTTGTTGCCCAGGCTAGAGTGAGTGCCGTGGCGTCAACCTAGCTCACAGTAACCTCAAACTCCTGGGCTCAAGCGATCCTCCTGCCTCAGCCTCCCGAGTAGCTGGGACTACAGGCATGCGCCACCATGCCCAGCTAATTTTTTCTATATATATTAGTTGGGCAATTAATTTCTTTCTATTTATAGTAGAGACGGGGTCTCGCTCTTGCTCAGGCTGGTTTCGAACTCCTGACCTCAAGCAATCCACCCGCCTCGGCCTCCCAGAGAGCTAGGATTACAGGCGTGAGCCACCGCGCCCGGCCTGTACTGGAGATTCTTGACAGTGTAGTATGTGATAAATAGAAATGAAAGGCATCCAGATGGGAAAGGAAGAAGTAAACTGTCTCTATTTGCAAACAACATGATATCCTAGGACCATTTTCCAGACCTCTAAAGCAGTGTTTTAAAATTATGCCTCATGAAAAACAACTTACCCAGTTTTTGTGTGTTTTATTTCTTTTAGGACTTTGTTTAGAGAAGTTGCCTATTTCATCTTCTACCAGTAATCTCCATGTGGACTGGGAACAGGATGTCATCACCTGTTATGAGAAAGCAGGGGACATCGCCCTCCTGTACCTCCAAGAGATAGAAAGGGTAAGTGAGGACCATGTGTTCCCGCTGATAATTTTTTCCTCCAAAATCAGATTGTAGAGAACTGGAGTCACCACTGGAAAGCCTTCAACTTGTCTGCCTCTGGGTGCAAAGCTTTACTTCTATTCCTTAATGCTAAGGAGAAGATGATAGTGAATGTGGTATCTTATGAAAAATAGATGGGCCAGTGTTTGTTTAGCATTTTAACATCCTCTGAGCATGATAGAAGTGATAGAGTGCATCTGTTTATACCCTCAGCACCCTGAAGCTGGTGAATCATTCCTGCTCTCCTAAGCAAAATGGGTTGAACTTTGTATGTACCTGTGTGGACTATATGCCAACATCTGTTTATCTGGGGTTTGGCAAAGGTCTCCTATGGTGTGGGGTATGGAAATCAACAGCTGACAAGAGGGCCACTGAGCAGAGAAGCAGTGAGCATGCGGCTCTGAGCTCAGACCCTCAGGTAGAGAAGGTTGGAGGCTGGATCTGGATAGGACCAGGGAGGCGTGGACACCTTTGTTTAAGAAGGATTCTTGTCTTTTAGTTCTGCTCTTTACTAAGTTTCTTCATCCCTCAGCCTCGATATTCCCATTTGTAAAAAGAGCATAATAATATTCCCTACTTCATGGAGTTTTTGTGGAGATTATATAAGGTCATGTGAATAAAGGCACTTAGCCCAGATTTGGAATCACATTGGATTCTTGGTAAATGTCACTTATTTTTATTAATAACAATAGCTCCTAGCAGCTGCTGCTCCTAGCTGAGTTTCCTGGAGTTCTAACCAAGGCTGGATGCTAATACTGACCATGGAGATGTACCCTGTGAGATTGTTTGAAATGATTAGAAATCTCGTAAGACTTTGGAAATGATCATAAGTATTATTTTCCGTCAATTTTCTGGGCTCTCTGTTTCCATAGGGATTGGAATAGAGAGGAACTACCAAAGTCTTGGTAGCTTTTATTACCTTATAAATGTACAGACTGGAAGTAATTTTTTTTGTAAATCATTTTGTAGTGTGTTGGTCTTTATGATGAGGATCAGAATTGCCTTTTCAGGAGGCAGGGAGAGTTGAGTGAGAATCACAAAAGAAGAAGAGAGGGAGAGAACGATGGAAGTAGAATGTGACCCGGCCTTAACCAGAATGGACTGTAAGTCACGGCTCATGATATCTGGGAATTCATGAAGTTATTTGGCTGTCTTGTCAAAATGCTATTCTATCAGAATGTTGCTAAGAGAAGGGATTTTTTTTTTTTGTTATTCAGAATCTATGATACGATCTTTAGAGAAATGATCATGCAGGCTGCTTTTAAAATCCACATTGTTTCCACTGTCTGCCTCCTTGATGGCCAGTGCTTGGCAGTGGAGAAGTCTGCTTATCCCAGCTAAGCTGTTCTTGCTGACTATACAGCACTGGCCACTTAGGGGGCCTTCTCTTGCAGCTCACTTTCAGTTGTCCAGCTCTGTCATGTTGGAGCTGCCTTCTCCTGCTAGGAGAAAGGAGGTTCATCTGTTCCATGTGTCTTTAGTGATGTAGGCATTGGCAGCTCTGGATACACCTCCTGTTCTGTTCATTCATAACTGCCCACTCACTGTTGTGTTCTTCAGCCAGACCATCAAGGAGACTCACATAGTCATAGAGTTTAAAAGAAGTTTTTTTTTTTTTTGCAGGGGGAAATGGTGATCATAGGATGTTAGATTTTTGAAAAGAAAGTTGAGGTCCAGAAAGAGAGAGCCCAAGGACACACAGGAAGTTAGACCAAAAGCTAGTTTTGGAACTCAACTCACCTGACGCCCAGTTCTGTGTGGGTTCAGTTCATTCTCCCAGGCCACTGCAAGCAGATACAGAACCCTGTCATTTCCCCACACCCTTATTTATAGTAAGTGCTCAATAAGTACAGAAATTGACCAATTGAGCTTTAGCTTTTAGCAGCATGCAGAAGCAGCTTCTTTGGCCTAGGGTTAAATCTCAGCATATATATAGATGACTTTCAAATTTCTGGCTCTGATTTTTCAGCGTGAGTTTTCCTGTTTAGGAAACCACGTTGGGCCTCCCTAGATTTCAGCAAGGGGGAATATTAGCAATGAGAGAGTTTGAATGAACCAAACATCGGTTTTAACTGTGTAGTAGGTACTCAAGAAATTATCTATTGATTGATCAGAGTCTAGGGGGAAAATAACCTTCCCTGCGCAACCAATGGGCTGGGTGGAAGTTTAAGGGCTTTTATGTGGCAAGATAGTTGTGTGCCATGCAAGAGATATCTGATTGGCCTTTTTCTTTTTTTAAATTTTGAACTTAATAAGAATTATGCTGAATTAAAAACAGAAACGTTAGGGAAACAGAATCTGAAAGACAGAAAAGCCTTGAACTAGCCTATTGGCAAAAAGCGCTGTGCTTTCTGAGCAGCCTGTGAATTAGCGAATCCCACGTACTGTTCCTACATTCGTTCTGCTGGACAGAGGCGGCCACTGAGTGGCTGCCCTTTCACTTCCAGCCGTCCTATAGCGAGGAAACTTCTGTTTGCCAGGGCCTTTGGCGTTTTATTTATTAGTACTGGCTCTTCATTCACTAGCGAGAATAAAACTTAGGGAGAACTTTTGAAGGCAGTTGGGAGTGTTGTGCCTGCTGTTTCATCACAGTCTGGAAGCGCCACGTCGTGCTTCTGAGGCAGCACCATGCTCTGGCTTTCTCTAACCATGGGTATGTTCCCTGAGGTTGGAGTTGTTCGTTTCCAGAGGGGCCGACCGTGGCTTCCCCTCGAGGCCGCAGAGCACTGTGGCAAAGTGACTGCCAGCGTTGGAATCCTGGCCTTGCCACTTCTCAGCTGCGAGACTCTGGGCAAGTTATTCAACCTCTCTGTACCTTGGGATCCTCATTAATAAAATAGCAATAATAACGTCCACCAGGCTGTTGTGAGGATAAAATGGGTTTACCCATATACTTCCCGGTACATTGTTAGTACACGATGTCAGCTTTGTTGTCATTATCTGTTCCTGTGTCACCTGGCTGTGGAATCTTTCCAAACCATAGGTGATTTCAGATATTGTGATAAAAATCTGGAATATTACAAACATACTATTTTATTTAAAATGTTAAAGAATTTTTAGGGGAGTGTATATGGAATCATTTTTTCAGGGAATTTGGTTTCCCCTTTCTTTTGCTGAAGCTAATGGGACAATATTTTGCCTGGTGTCCCTATGTCTGGCTTCTGTTATCTCCTGATTGACCTCAGTCCAGTCGTTTATTTCTGTGTGCATGAGCTTTACATTTTCACGGTGGGGCTAATGCTGCCCTGACTTGTCTGATTTCTTGGGGCTAGAGAACCAGCATTCACTGAGCACCAGTGTGTGCTAGGCAGCATGTAGGAGCTTTCCGTGTGGTCTTCTTCCCCCTTGTTCCCGATGTGGAAAGGGCCAAAGAGTGCGAATAAAGGAAAGCTGTGTGCATTAAATATTTGTTTAGTGTTGTTCTTGTTAAATTAGGGTGACAGAGACATCTACTAATGATCTTCTCTGGTAGTTTGTTTTCTGAAGCAGAATAAAAGATATAGTACTTCTAAAATTGTGTATATCAAATAATTTAATCAAACGAATCAAATTAGAGCAGATAGAATTAGAAATGACTTAGGATGGCCTTGATTAGTTTATCTTCATATGGTGGCATTATGCCAACAGTAAATAAAGTTATCTGCCCTGCAAGGAGCTTCTAGTGGTGCAGTGATAGGAATAAAGATGACTTCACCCTTGGATATCACAATATAAGCCCTGCTTTTGGCAAATGAAATCATCCTGTCTCTGTCCTTTGCATGCATCAGCCAACCAGCTGGTTATGGCTTTCTTGAGCAGGAGCTGTGCCAGGGTGGAACTTTACCTTCTGCTGACAGTTCATTTCTTTACACCCTACTTTAGAAAAGAAGTCAATGCTAAATTATGGGGCACCTATAACTTTTTACTGGCTATTTCAGTGCTAAAGTTTCTAGAAGGAACACCAGGTCCCCAGATACCACAGTGCTCAGCCCACATTCCCTGTGTTCATCAAGGAGTGTTCACTGGGCAGCTTGGTCATGCTTGAATTGAAATGTTCTCCCAACAAGAGGAACTTGCAGTGGCAGAGCCGAGGTTATGAATCCAGAACTGGATTAGATGAAGGTTACTGTGGCTCAAACCAGGTGTCTTCAGAAAAGCACTCGGAGCTGCTGCTGAGAAAGGCAGGGTATGACTCTGGAGATCTGAGTGGCTGTTTTTGGCTTAAAATATGAGACAGTGAAGAAAAGGCAGATTCCTCCTTCCCTTCCCCATTTGTCCCTACCTTTTCACTCAGGCCGAAGCAGCAGGTGACAATTCATAGCTTAATGTAGTATTTCCTTAGAGAAATTTCTAGAAACTGACCAGCCAGGCCGTGTGCTTCTGCTCCAGGTGCCTTTGACTTTGAGCCTCTAGTCTGCCTGACTGCAGTAGAAAGCTGTCACGCTCTTAAAACTGAGTTAGAAAAGTCTGGAAACCAGGAAAGAACAGTCACTTAATTACAGTCACTTAATTTTTGTATATTTTCTATCACTCTTTGCCCTCATAATTTTATAAGCATTAACAGGTTTGATATTTAACATCTTCTGCCTTTGGCAGTACAGGAGAGTAGTGGTTGCTTTGCAATCTCGAAAGGGCTATTCATATTTAAAAGTTATTTTGCTGACTTGCTAGTGAAATGGTACCTTGCAAGGTTAGTTTGCATTTTTTGATTACCAGTGAGGTTGAAATTGTTTTCATATATTTGCTTACTAGTTATATTTCTTTTTTCTTAAAAAAAGCATTGTTGAGATATAATACATGTACCATATGATTAACCCATTTAAATTGTACAATTCAGTGGTTTTTGTTGTTTTTTTTTCTTGAGACTGGGTCTCAGTCTTATTCTGTTGCCTGGGCTAGAGTGCAGTGGGGTGATCACAGCTCACTGCAACTCAAACTCCTGGGCTCAAGCAATTCTCCTGGCTCAGTGTCTGAAGTAG